AACACACACACATACACAATTAACAAGTTATTTATTTAGGTGTTTAGTTTATTTATAATATATGAACAAGATAACAACATTTTAACATGCTACGGATGTCGTTCAATATGCTATCTACCTATATTATGTATACATCCAGTATGGTACCCACCTACTGTTAAACTATTTGTAGCCTATAAATGATTTATTCGAACTTTTCACACTTAGAAGTGATGGCATTAGGCATGTTACAAAAGTGAGTTACATTCAATATGGCAACTCTGTTCATTCAACGTTATGATTTCTATCCATCAGTGTCCGGTGTAACTGACGATTATGAAAAGTTTCACGCAGAAAAATATAAGTATAAAAATATGTTTAATCGACAAAGCAGAGACATTCCGATAATAAACAAAATACACCATATGTTGTATAGTCTTAAAATTCCACAACCTTCTATCATAGGCTAAATCGTTTTTACTTTGGTAATTTAATAACGATTCGGATAGTCTTCGTGAGATGCTTAAAAATACCTACTTACTTTTTAATTATTTTATCAGGAGCTAAATAATGACTTTTTTTTTGTTTGTTATTTTCTTGAGCAGTAAACATTCTTTTGATTGAAAATCTATAATTTACGGAAATTATTCCAAGTAGTCAAATAAAAAATATCACATGTTTCCTTTGAACATAATTGCATTTTTATATTTTAGAAATCAAGTTTAACGAAATCATAAGAAATTAGGTTATTATCGCTTATAGTAATACATTCAGCCTCAGGGTAAATAAACAATTATTTATGTATTTGTTTATAAGTTGTTTTTTAAATTATACATTTGGCGTACGTACATATCAGTTAACATTCTTATTATTTACCATAACTATTAACAAACGTTGTCTTTTTTTTACATGCCTAATGCATTATTCTATCTATCCAAATTTTTGTGTTATTTAACCTGTTATATTTAATATAAGTATATTCTGCTTTTTTTATTCAAAGCGTAAATATATTATTATTATTTATTAATCGATACAATAAAAACTTATCATTACCTACATTGCTAATTTATTTTTTTAACGTGTCACTACTGATGATAGATAAAAAAAGGAATCTTCCAGTACTTTTAGTGCTCTCTAGTGGAAAACATTTAACAGGAATATTTAATCATCACAAGTATTCAACAAAATGATTTTTTTTTGTTATTCAGAAAATAATATTTTTTTATAGTTACTTACTTGAAATTTTGACCAAAAATACTTGTAGGTATTTGAATTTTTTATGCATGAAATAATTTTCAAAATATTTGAAATAGGTAGTTTAAAGCTTATGAATAGCTTAAGAGTCAGTTTCTGATATTTGATATTTTTTGTACTACTGAAGCCTTGGAGACATTCAATGTAGCCATAAAAACTTCTTTTTTTCATAGAACCTCTCTATTTTACCGCAAATTATTTAGTTGGTGATTTTCTTAACATTTTTACGTATCTAAATCGAAATTCTGATGTGTTACTTCTGAGTCATTAAAATGTTTGTACAAATGGTAATAATCTTAAAAATGATTTAACAAAAATACAACTGAAATGTTACAATAGGATGCAGTATTTATTTTATTATACTTGAATCACTTTTACAAATTATTTATATCAATAAATCAATGGTAGTTTCTAACTTTTTAGAACCATCTAAGCCCCCATATCCACTTAGCCCATTAACACAGACAATTTATCTTTAGTTCACAAAACTATATAACTTAAAAACTACTCGTTCAAATTTTTCTTTAGATACATCAACATTAAAAAATATGTATGTTTAATAATTAAAAGTGAAAAAGTTTGGTTTATATTTGAAAAACAAAAGTTTGAATTGTCATAGGATCATATCAACGTTAATTTAAGCATATAAATAAAGTGAGCACTGAGCATATATTAAAAATCTAACTGTGTAGTTATACATCTTATAACTTATGTAGAACCTATTTAATATAGCAAATCGCTCGTGCTGCAGTAGCCTAACATTAAGCTTTCAATAGAACAGAATAGGTCAAACCGAATAGAAAAATAACTAATTGTGTTATAAATTATTATGCGAATGGCATTGTACCGATGTACGATCGTCCGAATTTCAGATCAGCTTGACTTTTACCTAACTATGTTCTATCTTCCGAAAATGGTCGATACTCTATCAATAGATAAAACTATTATTAATAATTTGCAATCTTATTTTATCAACCTTTTCGCATTTGGTATATCGATGACATCGTTATCATAATAATATAATCGCGACTCGTAAGTCTGAAAAAAGCAGCCTACACACGTAGTCTTATAAAATGTAATAAATGAAACTTATATCCGCCGACTGATTTAATATAATCTTAAGTAACATAAATTATATAATAGTATCAGCCTAAACAACCGTCGACGTTGATGGCAAAAATATGTTAATAAAAAAAATACATGGTTTCGCATTTTTATAGGATTTAAATTAGATTTTTATTACTGTGTTTCCGCGATTAAAATGGCCTCACTAATTAAGATTAATTATTTATCATTTTAATTGAACGAATCGGATGAAAAGTTTTTATGGGAAACAAACCTTAAATATTTATGCATGTTGAAAATCAATACAAATAGGATGGGCCCTCCGATTTCGAACACCAATCAATATTTAACGTTAAAACAATTCATTTTTGTTCGATATAATAATGTAAGGCATAGACAACCAAACTTCGAAGTGCTAAGTATTACGTGGTTAAATCATAATGACGAGTTAACTAATTCGTTTTGCTGAACACTGGTAGGGTATTAAATATTAAATTATGTGCTCTAGTATAATAGGTCTTATTGTAGTTTCCGGGAAACCAATTCATGATTGCTTAACAAACTGTGGCACAGTCGATATTCGAACACAACAGCTATTATTTTACTATCGTATCCGAAGTCACTATAATATGTTATTTCATGTAATTACCAAACGATATGTCTTGATAATAATCATATTTTAATATTTCATACGAGCACCCACCTAAAGCCATAGCTTTGCGTGCAATATTATTCTCCTCCCTCTATGAAAATTGCTTTATTTTTGAACCACGAGTGGTTATTAATTTAATGTTCAGAGCTGAAACTGCAGACGAAATACGAACCTATCCATCTTAAAACGAAAAGTTATTATCGCGTAAGTCCGAGCGTTTTTTAATCAGAATATCAGATAGGTGTGACTCGTGAAAATAAACACAAGTCTTTATTCAAGTATTTCAATTGAAATAGACACTTCGAGAATTATTGTAAATCTTGTGTGACAAACGGGTCAGTAAATAATTATTTGTTTCAAGTTCATCTGCAGGCAAGATTTATTCATACAGATACACATTCCGTATCCGTGAAAATGTGTCTGACTCTTAACGATGAAATTAAAACGTAATAAAAAAAAAAAATAAATAAAACTGTAGTAATGTTCAAGACAGCTAACAAAATGTACTAAAAATGCCAAATCCTAATATGTACAATAATTGCATTATATTAATAATTAGATCAAATCGAAAATTAAATATCAGGTGGAACAATCCGTAAGTATTAACTACGAAAACAATAATATTTCAAATGGAAAAAAGACAAAACATTTTAAAAGTTATATTTATTAATTTTTTTTTCCTTTATTACATTATCAGTCGTCACCAACCAGAACTATATTTAACATTAATCAGGATTCGGGAATATTGAGGTATAATTTATATTTCAAATACGGTTTTCTTTTTGTTCAGTTAACCGAAAACCCGTTTTTAGAGGAAATATGATTGATCCAGTTTGACTTTACTCTGCACACATGAATTTCAATATCATAATATGTAATGCATTTTGAAATATTATAATGGCATTTTTTACAGCAGATTCCTTTATCTATAAAAGGAAAAACTCATTAACTAACTTCGAATGGCACTCACAACCGTACTTTCACATGCACATACACTATTTTGTTAACAAAATAATATATATTCAGGTTATTCGTTTTGTTTTTTATTTCGTTTTTTAACTTTATTGTCTTCAGTTTAAAAGTTTTGAGAAAATTCTTCATTAACTTCATCTTATGTGCACGTTTAAAAACACTTTAAATCCTTAAAAGAAAATGTGTAAGTCTACCTACATTTGATTTTACTTGGTAATATTATTTTTATTCAAAACTAAATGCTATCAAACTTTTTTTTTACCTAAAATAAAATACGACTATTATCACCTCGTTGCTAAACACATATAATTTTTAATACAATTTAAGCTTTTATATTATTCGAGCATACAATTGTAGATAATATATATGAATGTACCAAAAAGTTTTATTTTATTATGTTAATTAATAATCTAGTTTTTGCTAAAATAATGACTTAAAAATTCCGACACGAATTATTTTAATAAAACTTATTATATTTGTTTGTGTTTTGTTATTAGGGAAATATTCTACTTTAATAGAATAACTACTAATAACGGATTTGTATGTAAATTTTCTGGCATGGAGTGCATAATTTTAACTCCCCAAATTGTATAACACATTAAATTAACTGCTAAATGATTGTAATAATTATAATTAATAAAATATGTACAATCATTTTAATTGTATTACTAAACATTTTATAATCAAAACTATCGTTTATTTATTCATCCAGCGAATTCTAGAGTCGAAAAATGGACCAAAATCCTAAACAAGAGTCGGATATGAAACCACTAGATAGCGCTACAAATACAGTCGAAATCATTTATAACTTTTAAAATTATTTCTGCCTTACAATAATATTATACTATACTTTATTTTTGAAATACTCAGCACCTTTTAATAATTACTTCTCCAAACTGACATATTTACCTAAGCCTAACCACGACTGTGATTTGTACTCGTCATCTACAATCATTCGGCCGCTGCAATATTAGTGTGACAATATAATATAATTATAATATCATTACAGATTTTTTATTTAAACAAATGTTTTTATTTGACAAAAAAACTCGAAAAGTTGACAGCAAACGGGTTCGGAATGAGTGACTGGCATGATATCATGTAGGTATGTGCCTGGCCAATGGAAACGTGTAGAATAACTGTGTGCCTGGTGCTGCTTTTTTTCTCAGGTATTTTGCACAATTCGATTTTCGGTTTGTACATCGTGTTTTTTTGAAACAGCTAGAGACCAGCCAGTTGTAAAGTTTCGCGATAATAAATCCGAAAACACCGTACCCACATCGGCATTCAATCATCAGACACATATTTTGCTACAACACTACCGACAGTAAGTTGTACACTATTTGTTGCCGATCACCGTCAAATAACATCACTGTCGGTGGATTTTAAAGGCAGAAAGTGCGACTTAATTCCAGTATTAATAATTATAATATTTAGTTGTTATATTATAATTACCATTTCGATCCGTTTTCACGAGTTTTTTATGGGCGTGCCCGGGTAGATGGTTATATAACTTCAAGTCACGATATCTGGATAAAAAATAGCGGGAAAAAATACAACAGGTAATAAAAAAACGATTCGTCTTGTCGAACAGCTTAAGCATCGCCCAGCGGGCCTGATTGACTCGCAGCGTCGGCGGTGGCGAAGACGGCAACGTCTGTGTTCTCGTGTTCGACTCGCATCGCCGCTGCACCGCACAACACGTCACCACGGTCGTTGCTGATGTCGCACAGACAGTTCCTCAACATGCCGATGAGATCGCCGACCACCGAGTCATCGTCGGAGACAGTCGGTTCGCGGCGGACGATCTGGTCTGACGGGCACGAGTGCAGCTGGCCAAGGACGGTTGCTGTGTCTGTCCTGACCATCGACTCCTCCACCGCCGGCGGCGTCTGCTGATGATCCTGCTCCGTCTCCAGATCCTTCCTCTGCTCCTGGTCCTGATGCTGCCATTGCTTCTGCGTGCCGGTCAGCACCCACAAGGTCCACATACAGTCGCCCCCACCACAGCCGTTGACCACGGTCGTGCTTGAAATCGGAAACTCCGTCGTGGGCACACCGTGTTCGGACTTGTGCAACAGCCATGGAGTGCGTGGCACTGAACAGAACCGCAAAATGGCAGAGTCACCGGCTTTCTGTTCGATCTCAGACCATTTTGAAAAACAAAGTTTGGTCAAAAACGGAAATCTGGACACTGCAAACGAAGTTCACCGAAAAATAAAAAATAAATAATGTATCAATCGTAAATGGATATTTTACGCGTGCATTGTATTAAATATATACTAATATACATATTCACCTGTCGATTCAATCGTCATGTGGTTCGCTAATAAAATGGTCCTCGCCGCCAGCGCCATACTCTTCAATTCGATCAAACCCGTCGAACATTTGGCTTTCGGTTTTTTGGGAACTGAAAACAATAATTTAAGAAAAAACGGCAAATCGGTATATCGAAACGATAAAAACAACGACAATGCATACGGATAGTTATGGAACGTATTGCGTCCGTACGGCCCAGAGCGTCCGATACGGCTCTGTGGACTGCTATGCCACACACGTCGGTCGGTGCGTTGAAAAAATGTAAAATCTGAATATAAAAACCGAAGATTTAATTAAAAAATCTGACTACTATAAACGTTTCATTCAGAGAAAATATGTTGTATTAATTAATTATAACTATTAAATAATATGTAAAAAAAATGCAATCATCTCAAATCATTAGAGTATAATATAGTTAATTATTTATTATGACATTGGATTGATATTGATTACATATTTTTAGAACAATATTATTATTCATTTTATGTAGAAACTGAAATGTATTAATAAGTATAGCAACAATTTGGTGTACAATTTGATCATGCAATTTGTACACATTTCAAATATGTAACTCAACGTTCATTTACCTTGGACGGAGCTGCGATACGACGTTTATCCGGACTCATTACGTTTGGGATAAATCTGTTCAATGTGCTCGACAAGTAAACTTTTTGTGCAGGCGTACCGTCGGCCAGTTTGTTAAAATTGACTTGATCGTGGATAAAATTATGCTTGGAATACCTAAAATGTTATTCAAACACAAAGCTATTTCAGTAACAATTAGGTGAAAGAAACGATGCAAGAGATTTGACACCTCACTACTTACCTATATTTCTAACATACAGCCAGCATAGATGAAGTGAAAATAGTTGGGTGATAACGTTATAATAATATGGTTTAGGTTAACCATAATAATAATAACAATAGGTACAATATGACTTATGCATCCTAACAATAATTGGGTCAGTGGCTTGGCGTGGCGCGTTGGCTGCTACCAGTCACAGAACTCGATTGGGAGTAAGTAACGGCACAGCTACTAGCTCCCGGATGGGTGACCACCCGGGTTCATAATAGTTAAAAACCTTACCACACATACACGTGTTTGCTACCTACCGTAACAATCGTAAAAACAACCTACCATAGTAACCTTACCCCTACCACAGTTCATAACTCTTACAACAGTTAATGGCCTTGGTTGCCCGGCTTAAGTTAAATTTAAATTTAAATTTTAAAAAATGGGTCGCTGGTTCTGTTTTTCACGAATACAATAATTATTATTATAGTCAATCTCTGTTAAAACTTTTAATCGTTCAGCACCCGGGTTTTTACGAGCTTTATCCATCCTGTTGGGGACTGTTTGCGGGACACTATCGTGGACTCACTTGACTTTCATGTTGACCTCGTCGTCCAGCCGAAGCATATGCAAATTGGACACGCACCGTCTTGCGGATTCCGCGTCCTCCAGCTCGACAAGCACCTTGTCGTCCCTCAGGATCTTCACCGTCGTCACGTTCCCGTACAGGCAGAACAGGTTGAACACCCGGTCGCAGTTTACGGGCACACGGTCTAGTCCATGAACGAGCAGCACTTTGCTGGGCTCGGGAGCGGAGGGTCGCGATTCGGGCGCCGGGTCCGAGTCGCCACTGGCGCCCACGCTGAGGGAATTCTCGTTGTTCGGGGTGTCGACGCTTGGACCTTGGTTCCTATGTATTATAATAATAATATTAATGTCCATAATAATATTGACACGACAAGCGACGAGCTTATTATTTGAATTTTTTCTAAAATCCCGAACTTCGCGAGGACGGTAAACAGGGCAATACGTTATATTATTATGATGATAGATATAATATAAGTCATACGTGAATAAATAACATAATATTATTATAAAGACGACAATAATGTAATGGAAATATAAGTAATAATTATAAAAGTGATAATTCTGCGTAATGCAGTACGTAACCTATGTGATTAGAAATTAGAAGATAGAAAACCGTATGCCTTATGCCCTTATGTAACGCTAAGATCCGGGGAAACTGTAAAATCAAAAACCATTGCAAAATACCTGGAAACTTACTGTTATGTACATGATAACAATCAAACGTTCTGTTAACATTCACTTGTACACCATACAGGTATAAAGTATTACACACAAACATTTGTTATAAAATTCCATTTAATTACACTACCACTTTAATCAACATTGTGATAATGTTATAAACTAGTATCACTAAAAGGCATATGTTGATTATTTTTTAATCGATACGACTAAGGAACCAGACTGGCAGGATGTTGGGGGAAAGAGTAAGACGAGATTTTTGTCACACCCCGAACCCCATATAGCCGCATTCCCGTATAGCGATTATTCTCGAGTGGATCGACCCTCAAATAATATCGTTGGTATGACATCAGTAGCAGTACGTATATATTATTACTATGCATTTTTGGGCATAAAACGCCTCCCCACGTGTAACTTGCCTACAAAAAACGTTCTCGTTACGAAATTCCTAAAAAAAATAGCTTTGTTGGAATGCACATTGTTAGTTCTTGCGTTCACAATATAAACAGAATATAATATTCCATTGCACTAGATATATTTTCATACACGGGAAATTTTTATAAGCATCGAAGCTTACAGCGTCTTACGAGTGCGGGTTATGATTTTAATGTAATATCATAAAACTTATTATTAAATTTCAAAAATATCGGAAACAATAATTTTTTTTTTAATTTACAAAATTACGCATATCATATATGTATAGGTATTAGGTATGTTACTCTCTGCAATTCAAATCGTGTCCGTTCGGTTCCCAGGTATTGTCTTGGCGTGCACGACACGCGCAACCCTGCAATTCAGTTCGGAACATCAGTCGGCCGGAACCACAACGATTTCGGCAGTATAAAGAGTTGCTATTGTCGTTGTCCATCACAATCGTTATGCTAGGGAAGAGTATTTAAATGGTGGTGATGTTTTTTTTACGTATTTTAAAAAATATATTTATTTATTGAAAGTCGTCTGTGTGAAGTAACGTGTACGTTGGGTAACTCAAAACTATGATCGTCTAACAAAATCTAAGTACAAACTACCATTTTTAAGCATACAAATGACAGTTATCATACACATGTATAAACAAATTCGTTTTCATGGTTTCGGCATGAAAGGTCGACCGTCGTATCGTTATTATTAATATTATTATGTGTATTGTTCAGTATGTAAAATATTTTGAGAAGGTAATAATAATTATTTTAATTAATCTGTTTGATATTAATTATCCTCATTCGAAAACACTAAAAAATACACTTACCCATCCCGTACTATCGTCATGTGTGAATGTGTGATAAGTGTTGAATATTTTGTATTTAAATAATAGTTATGGTAAATATATAAGGTCGTCAATAGCGAGAAAATGTTTACCGAATCGTCAATCAGTCTAAAACATGCACTCCTAGTGCTATAGCTGTTATAGCACTCTGTTAAGAAAACTATTTGGTTATTGTCGTTCTCGTTCGTACCTTTTTACCACAAGTAATATATTATTAAAATAATATACAAACTTTAGTCGGCGCGGTATATAGGCAATTTAGGTACATCGACGTGGAGGTTACATTCAAACGGTTTCTGCAGAGTGGAACGCCTTATGCCAGCAATAATAGCTAAACTAACTACAACTCAGTACTCAGTAGTAACCAACGACGGCACGGATTTAAAATAGCTTAACAGAGTTAATATGTTTAGTCTTATCACTCGGACCAATCAGATTTTCGTTACACTAATTGTTGTAAATTATAATATAATTAGACACTGCGTCATTTTGACGTTTAATGAATTGAAATACAAATGCATTATATTTGTTTATATAATGCATCGGTGATAGTTTTGGTGGCTTTACCTCATACCAACAAGAAAAAATCAAAAATATTGAATTCGTTTTGAAAGACCATTTTGTATGTGTGTAGGAACTCGAGAAAATAAATATGATGAAATACGTTATTGGATTGCACCACCAAAAAAATACTATCAGCACTACCATTGTCGTATGATGTTGCTATAAAGCTCTCCAAAGCTCTAAGCACTATAAAGCTTGTCGAACACACAAACGAATAGTAAGGTTATTTTTTATTTGCAGAATTCATTCAGGTAAATGATGTTTTTGTAAATAAAAATTAATTTACTAAACAACGGTTCAGAGCCAGATTCACGATTTTTGAGACTTTATATAGTATACACGGATAATTTTTTCCATTCAAATAATATTAATATTTAAAATACACTTTTATTGATTACAAAGTGTTTATGGTTTAAATTTTTTTTTTTTTGGATAAAGGCATCAACAACTAAGGTCAATAGCCTGGTACTCAGTGGGGTTTTGTATGTGTGGCAAGGATTTTTTGCTAAAAACCGAGGTGATCACCCGTCCAGGTGGTAGTAACGACGGCCGCAGATTGAGCGTACAACCGCTTCACACCAAGCAACTGTTTATTATAATAAAAGAAATTATAAAGCTATATTTTTTTTTTACTCTATAAGCGTAAAATACTTATGAATATAATATGTAAGATACTTATACTTATGAATTTGTTTATTCTTCATGCAAAAAAGAAAAATATGATTTGACATTTTTGTGATTGTAAGATAATTATGATTAAAAGATAGCATTAAGAGGGCGCACTAGTGAACAAACTGTGGCATAAAAACATGGTTTCGTTCTTCAAATAGTACGGCTTATTGAAGAGGTTTACAGTAAAGATACCTATCATAAAAATTGTAGAGGAGAACTTTATCTAGAAACGCAAGAAGTCCGATTTTTGATATTTTTATTAATTAGTTAAATAATTAGTTTATAAAAAGTTTGAAAAAACGTATTCATATAACATGCGATATTGGACGATTGGAGTACGACATAAAATATCGGGCTTCTTACGTTTCTAGATAAAATTCTCCTCTACAAATTTTTATAATAAGTATGTTTACTCTAAAACCCTTCAACAAGATGTATTACTTGAAGTACTAAACCATGTTATATATAACTGATAATTAGTTCGTGATTTAAATTGTGATAATAGAGAGCGCTAGCGTTATTTTCCACTGCTGTGAGTCAATCTAGTCTTCAACTTTAATCATTTCAGTACAGATCGATGGGCAACCTGTATATTATCTTAAATCGTGGTTAATAGACGGAATATTTAATATGGTTATGGTGGTAAAATTTTATTACCGGGGAGAGCATTAAATAATGATACCAATATACACGGCCTAAGATATTTTGAATTATAATATCGTATCATATATTAATTATCTAATGGTTCTTCAATATTTCATAGTTCTCACGAGGAAGTAGTAAGATCCCATATTAAATATTAGAATAAATTATAGAAAAATATGAGTAATGGGTGAAATATTGTAAAACTATTTTGGCAATGAAAAATTTGTTGAGAATCATAACTTATTTATGTTATGTCTTGTAATGGCAGGCGTTGGTAAAGTTCATTGGTGACACTGTCAACCACGATTTAAGCAACACATTAATTATTCACAGTGAGTGCCATGTGCTTCGCAATTATTGTACACACATAATAAACACGAATACTACGTGCCATAAACGGTAATACAGTGAAGAAAATACACCATTATTTGTTGTCCCCGTCAATTTGCCTATCGTAAAAAACCAACATTTGAACACAGATTATGTTTTTACCATTAATTTTCGTAGTAAGTTAGTACAAAATTTCACTCTAATTTTTTAAGTGACAGAGCTAAACGAGATCTGCTGCCCTTAAATTTACCATGTGACGTGCTTCTAAGACGGAGCCAACAAATACGGGTGTGGCGCCCTCTTAAAGAATAAAGACTAAACAATATTGTATAATATGACTAAAGACAAGACTTTGGCGCCCACAGGCAAATTAAGAATCAAAATAAAAATATTAGGAAAATATGTTCTTAAAAACAAACATTAAAGACCGCAGTCTACAATAACAGTATTCCCAAACTCATAGTTTTATTTACAATAGTTAGATTATGAAACAAAGAATATTTAAAAGGCACTAACTGGTTATGAAAAATTAAAGATATTTGAAATAATTGAACAAGAGTTAAATTATAGAAAAAAAATTTGAAGGGGGGAATGGGCGACCGTGGCCAAATGCTTTTAAAGAATCAAAAAAAAAAATAATTATAAAAAAATCAGATATTACTTAATTTTAAAAATAAAAATGAGAAAGGGGTCATAGGCGCCCGCAGGAAAATGCGTTTCGAGAATCAAAAAAAAATAAAATATGAAAACAGTTGCATTAAAAAGTAAAAACAAACATTAGTGACTGCAGTCTATATTATCAGTATACCTATAAACACATAGCTTTATTTACAATAATTAAATAATGGCAAAATGAATATGTATAAGGAACCGGCTGGTTATCAACATTTAAAAATGGTATTTAAAAACTCATTGAGAATTCAATTTTAATAATAAAAATGGGAAGGGGGATTTTGGCACCCGCAGGCAAATGCATTTTGGGCACGCACGCGCAAATGAATGTTAGGAATCAAAAAAAAATAATCTACTATTCAATTTTAAAAATAAAAATGGGAAGGGGGACGTGGGCGCAAGCAGGCAAATGCATATTGAGAATCAAAATAAAAAAAATATATGTAAAAATCAAATTGGTTTAAATTTTAAAAATAAAAATGGGAAGGGAGATTTTGGCACCCGCAGGCTAATGCTTTTTCAGAATCAAAAAAAAAATATATGAAAAAAGTAGTATTAAAAACATATATTAAAGACTGCAGTCTAAAATTACCAAAAATTAAATCGACAATGTCATTCAAATTCATTTATTACATAAACAGTGGTAATTTAGATTAAACCAGCCGGTTATAAAAATTTTAAAAATATTTATGAAAAATTTAATAAAAGTTAAATTGTAGAAAAAAAATTTTTAAGGCTTCATGGGCACGCACGCGCAAATGAATGTTAGGAATCAAAAAAAATCATTTACTATTCAATTTTAAAAATAAAAATGGGAGGGGGGAGTGGACATACGCGGGCAAATGCATTTTGGGAATCAAAAAAAAAAAAAAATATATGAAAAAATCAAATTGGTTTAAATTTTAAAAATAAAAATGGGAAGGGGGACGTGGGCGCCCGCGGGCAAATGCGTTTTGAGAATCAAAAAAAATAAAAATATGAAAAAAGTTGCATTAAAAACAAACATTAAAGATTGCAGCCTACAATATAAGTATTCCTAAACTCATAGCCTTATTTACAATTATTAAATTATAGTAAAATGAATATGTATAAGGAACCGGCTGGTTATGAAAATTAAAAAATGGTATTTAAAAGTCATCGAGATTCAATTTTAAAAATAAAAATGGGAAGGGGGATATGGGCGCCCGCAGGAAAATGCGTTTTGAGAAACAAAAAAAAAAAAATATGAAAAAAGTAGTATTAACAACATATATTAAAGACTGCAGTCTAAAATTACCAAATATTAAATGGAAACTGTCATTCAAATTCATTTATTACATAAACAATGGTAATTTAGATTAAACCAGCCGGTTATAAAAATTTTAAAAATATTGATGAAAAATTTAATAATAGTTAAATTGTAGAAAACAATTTTTAAGGCTTCATGGACACGCACGCGCAAATGAATGTTAGGAATCAAAAAAAATCATTTACTATTCAATTTTAAAAATAAAAATGGGAGGGGGGAGTGGGCGCCCGCGGGCAAATGCATTTTGGGAATAAAAAAAAAAAAAATATATGAGAAAATCAAATTGGTTTAAATTTTAAAAATAAAAATGGGAAGGGGGATGTGGGCGCCCGCAGGCAAATGCGTTTTGAGAATCAAAAAAAAAAAATATGAAAAAAGTAGTATTAAAAACATATGTTAAAGACTGCAGTCTATATTATCAGTATACCTATAA